TGTGGTGTGTGTGTGTGTGTGTGTGTGTGTGTGTGTAGTTGCTGGTGAGTATTTGCTTCAGGTTGGGGGGCTGTCTGTAAGCGAGGACTGGCCTGCCTCCCAAGGTCTGTGAGAGTGAGGGACTGTTTTCCAAGATAGATTGTAGACCCTTGATGTGCTGGAGAGGTTTTAGCTGAGGGCTGTAAGTGATGGCCAGTAGGTGACTTCTGGGTACCCGTCTCGCGCTGTCAATCTGTTTCCTCACTTCCCCGGGTGAGTATTGTAGTTGTAAGAATGCTTGATAAAGATCTTGTAGGTGTTTGTCTCTGTCTGAGGGATTGGAGCAAATTCAGTTGTATCTTAGGGCTTGGCTGTAGACAATGGATTATGTGATGTGTCCTGGATGGAAGCTGGAGGCAAGTAGGTAAGTATAGCAGTCAGTAGGTTTCCGGTATAGGGTGGTGTTTATGCAGCTATCACTTATTTGCACTGTAGTGTCCAGGAAGTGGATCTCTTGTATGGACTGGTCCAAGCTGAGGTTGATGGTGGGGTGGAAATTGTTGAAATCCACGTGGAATTCTTCAAGGGCCGCCAGACTCCTCGTTCGTTCATTTCATTAGAATAACCTGGTGATGACCAGACCGTTTCCTGTTTAGTAAGTAGCACACCCAAAGAGAGAGCTGAAATGTTGCCGATATAATGTAGTGCTTTGCTGTGGTCCTGTTGAAAGCTTTGCACCCTTAGTTCATGAGATTTCAGTGCAATATAAAGATGACATACCTAATCTCCAGGCACAGTTTACGTAAGCTGCTTTGGTGCAATTAATGCCCCTCTTCATCATAGTAACTCACATTGCAGCATTAATACAGATCCTCTTTTCAGTGTGTGGCCCATGAAAATTTGGGATACATAACCAAAATTTTTTGTTAGCTGGATTCCCACACTGTAAAACTATAGTCAGCCTACACCATCTGCACACCCAGTCCCAGCAACAAGACCACCATCCTCTATTCCCAGTGTGGTCCTATTTGCTCCTCCTCCAGCATGTCACTCAATTCCCACACAACCTTCCTGCAACTTAAAAAAAAAAAATTCCTTTCAGATGCAATGCCTGGTTTCCCAAATCACACAGGGAAAGAACTACATGAGGGAAAGAAACCTGGTTGTGGGGCTCCACATCTGTTTCCAGAGAGCTGGCCCTGGATTTTGTTGGGTCCTGGCTTCCATCCTTTAGTTTAAGAGTTGGACAGAGGGGGAGCCCTATGATGAACAGGGAACAGACCCCAAAACTAAAAGGGCATAGACTGCATTCAATTTCTTGGGATCAAGGCTTACTGCAATAACATGACTCTGTAGCAGAGAACAATGAGAATGGAGTGTGATATTTGCATGAAGTGTCCTCGGTGGGAAGGTAGGAATTGCAAGACTGGATCAGACTTGTGGTCCATCTTGTCTAGTATCTTGCATCGGGGTCTGCACCAGGTGCTTCAGAGGAACGTGTAAGACCTGAGGCAGGAAGGTGAAGGGAATCTGCCCCCCATATAGGTCTCACCCTGATCTAATAGAGATTGACTTAAGCCCTGAAGTATGAGGTTTTAATACCCCTTCCACAAACCGTGTACCATTATGAAAACACTGGATATTTGAATCCTGTTAAGTTCTTGGACTCCACGTCCTGTTGCACTGAGTTCTGTAGTTCAATTACATGTGTGAAAAGATGTTTCCTTCTACTGGCTTTGAATTCCCCTTTTTGTTTGATTGACTGTCCCGTTGTTGTTATGCGACAGGGAGAACAGAAGTTCCCAATCTTCCTTTGCTGCTTATATAGATAGCAATCCCTATCTACCGTGTCCCCTCTTACTCCTCTTCTTTAAAAGGTAGCAGTCCTAGTCACTTCAGTAATTCTTCAGAGGAGAATTTTCCTAGACCTTTTGTCTTTTTGGTTGTCCATCTGTGAACCCCTCTAATCCTGAAATATCTTTTTGTAGATGCAATGAGCAGTACTGTACGCACTATCCAGATGAGGCCACACCTTTTGATTTATATAATGGCATTATAATAGTCTCAGAATTAATCACCATCCTACTCCTTATGCAATCGAATATTTTGTTTTTGTTTTGACCATAGCTGCCCATTAAGCAGAGGTCTACATTGAGCTCACAGTGATGCCCAGGTTCCATAATGTGACATTTCAAAGCTTAATCTGAGTGCAGTGCGGTGTTGAAACTTAAAGCACATCTGACTCTATCATGCAGCTGATGAGAGTCTGAAATTGAGTCTCTGGGAAACTTGATCCAGGGTGATCAGAATTCGCATTGCTTGTTGACGTGCACCTCCTAGATCAGTATCGAATGGACACAACAGTGCGCTGTCTGGTTAGCCTGACCTCGGATTGCACTTCAGTAGACGCTGCTTAGATCACTGTGCTGTGCTCCAGCATAATCTCCCAGATGTCCACAAATGCTCATTGAAATTCTGTGTTTATTTAAAACTTGACATTAACTTAAAAGAATGACAAATAGAGTTGAGGTGTTTAGTGTCTGTAATGCACCCTGTCGTGCCTGTGTGCTGCAGAACATGCTGTACTGCTACGTGCTGTTCCCAAAGATGGTGTGCTGTGAAGTATCTGCACACCTAGTGGCCAAGGAGGATTGGGTGTAAAGATCTCTCCTACAGCCAGAAAGGGTCATTGATACTCCTTCCCTTTAGTAAGGGCTTCTGAACTGATGAGCTCAAGAAGGACTCTCTCATTGGCCCTTATTTTTATTTAAACTTAAAAAAAAAAAAGGTAGGTTAAGTCTGCACCATTGCCAGAGAAGGGATTCCTAGCCCAGTCTCACTCGGAGCTGAGCCAAATTAAAGAGAAGATGCCTTGCTCTTTTGAATAGTGACTCGCTTTGTCTCTTGGTTCGTCATGGAGAGGGCTGCAGGTTTGTTGTGGATACACTGATTTTCCTGTTTTGTCCATGACTTGTCTTTGTCTCTGTGACTCACCCTGCAGCGATTGCTCCTGTCCCACAGGGCTGGGCCTGGCTCTTCACTCTGTGTATGGTGACCTGGTGTGCAGGATCACAGCACCGCTCATGTTTGGCCCATCATCATGACGAGGGGGCAGCCAGGCCAAACCTGAGTGGTGCTGTGACCCTGTGTGCCACGTCACCATGCTCCGAGTGGGGAGCCGCCTGCAGGGTGAGTGCAGGATGGGCTTGCTCTTCAGCCCCCTTGCTGCGACCCCTCCTTATCAATCACAGCATTGTCTATTAAAAATCCCCAAATCCATGATTTTTACTAAATTTACCATGACTGCTTTGTAATTTTTGATAAAAAAATGCTGTGACAAATCACCAACCCTAATCATGGAGTAGTGCTGAGAAGGTGCAAATAGAGAACTGCTCCACAGGAAGGATGATGACTGCAGCAGGGGACTTCCTGGTATATCCTAAAGGTGGTCACCTACTGGGGAGGAAAAACTTTCCAAAATCATGTAAAAGTATCTTGCTGAGCAGCCAGGTACTATGCACGTACAGAGAGATCAGGTGTGACTCACTGATGGATTGGTTCGTACTTCAGTCTCCTGTCAGCAGTGTCAGTAGGGGGTTCTCCAGACTTGTCTGTCTAACTCTTCTCAATTTGTTGGATTTTCTGTTTCAGGGACACATCTGGCCAGGGGAGGTTCTGCACCATTTTCAGATCCTACTCCAGAGGTGCTCAGGTAAACACTACCAGCAGTGCTACGCTGGACTGGGCCTGCTCACCATCGAAGTTCTCCAGACTAATGGGAAGCAAGTTAATGCCCAACAGCACCATCCAGCATCTCGTGTTTCCCTTCCAATGTCCTGGCTCTGCCCTTCTGATCAGCATATGCACAAATGGGGGTGTCACAGGGCAGGACTCACCAGTGCGGCGCCTCCTGCTGGTCGTCCAGGGAATTAAGATTTCCAGCCTCCGGAATGCCCTCTGCAGGCCGGTGTCCCGCTTGCCACTGGGCCCGAGTCCCTCCTGGACCCCAGTGCCCCTTTCAGGCCAGGGTGCTGCCCCCTGGCAGTAGCCCCACAGATCTAGGTCTCCCCTCCCCAGGGAACCCCCACCCTCTGTACCCACCTCGCCTCAGACTATAGCTACTGCCAGTCTCGATCTAGCCCCTGTTCACTGGGGTAGACTGCAGTGTAAATGCCACTCATCACCGGCCAGGGGAGTTTGGACCTGCTGCCTCTGCCTACCCTTGGGCTACCCCTCTGCAACCCCAGTACCCTTTCCGGCCTTTAACAAGGCCTGCAGCCTGGGGGGTTTCCAGGCTGGAGCTCTCCCAGCTCCTCTAGCCATCCCCCAGCCCTGCTCCACTTTAGGTACTCTTTCTCAGCTCCCAGGCAGCCAGGCCATCCTCTCTCAGCAAGCTAGAGAGAGACTGTCTGCTCCTGGCCCACTGCCCTCTTGTAAGGGCCAGCTGGGCCCTATTGGGGTGTGGCCACAGCTGAGGCTGCTTCCCCAATCAGCCTTTCCCCAGCCACAGCCCTCCCCAGGGCTGCTTTTAACCCCTCCGGGCAGGAGCAGGATGACTTTCTCCAAGGGGCTGACTTATGCTATTGCAGTGGAATACAAACAGTGCTCCACTATACTAGGTAGCACACTGTAGGTGTGCTGAAGCGGCATGGTTACTAGTATGGATCATGTGGGGCAGTCTTTGCACAGGATCTGGATTAGGTTTAGATTGGAGTTCAGGATTTTGGCTGAAAGCTGACTTGGGAAGCCTCAAATGACAGCAAACTCATGAGATCAGCTTTCCCTAGTCTGTGCCAGTTCCAGAAAATGAGCCTCTTCAGTTTATGTACTTGACCCAGGCCTTAAACGAGAAGGGCTGGTTCAGATCTGATATCTCAGTCCTTAAAACACGGGAGATGAAGGCTTAGAATGTTAATGCTGGGGGAATTTTACGCACAATATTTTAAAATTCTGCATATTTTATTTGTCAAAATAACACAATATTATCATTCCAGTTTCAATTATTTTGGTAATTTATTTCAAAATACCTGTCAACAAGTATGTCAACAATACAGACAACAGCAAAAAAGATTTCCCTCAGGAGTAGAGTTTTAACTTAGGCTGCTCATTTCTCTGGCCTAGAGGAGCTCTGGAAAATATCCCTCTGACTTCTTTTCAAGAACCAGTTGCTCTCTAAAGGCTCACTGACTGGACCAGTACATCTAGCAATTATCTAAGGCCTCCTCCTCTGAATTTCTGCCTCTTCAACTTAATCTCTCACTGTTTTTGGATTTCACTACCCACAGCTGTAAGCTACTTTTCTAGCTGGGAAGGCCATCGTGCCTTCTTTCCGTAGGACTTCCTACAAATGTACTTGAGATCTAGACATGCGAGCACTAGACTGCATACCATGTGCGGTCTCCTCCAAGTGTCACATTTAGTTCTTGTACATACAAACTTCTAGTGTTGTGGATGGTTCTGTGGGTGCCTCTTTGGCTGCTGCTAACTCTATGGTTCTCTCAATGAGGAGCAGCAGCACTTAATGCTGTGATTTGTGTGGGGGGGGGAATGGGGGGGGGCGGGGCACAGAGTTCAAGTACATGCACACCTAATACAATACAGGAACTTTAAGATTAACTCCCCTTCCTGCCTCTCAGCAAGTTCTGCCCCAAAGTTGCATTCCAGAGAGATCTAGAAGAACTTCACTCCTGGTAAAACATATGTAGTCAGGACAGGTCTTTGTCCCATCCAACTTCTGATGCCATGTGGTATTTTGATGATCAAATGAAATTTGATCAAAACTTTCAGTCCCAAATGGAGCATTTTCTTAGGCAGTAGCTTCCCTCCCTCCCCTATACAAGAGTGTTGGGTGTTTCCTTTGAATGGCAGAGTCTAGAACTGCTGGTGTTTGCACACATCCAACAATGCCTGCACCAGCACTCCACAGTGACCAATAAAAGCTTGAAAGTGTTTATCTATATGGAAAGTATGCCTCACTTACCTTCCCTGCATACCTTGCCACCAGGGAGCAGTCTGTGAGGAATGTGATTTTTAGCCCAGCCCTTACAGCTGATCTGGGTGGAGGGGGTCATTTTAGTGTAAACAAAGGACTGTGTGCAGGGATGTAGATAGAGTTGCCAGCCAGCAGGGGGCTTATGTAGCAAGGTACAACTTTGGTCTTCCTCAAAATCTCTGGATTCTGCACAGCTTGTAACTTCCCTTTCCACAGGTGCACCCCTTTTGCTTGTTAAGTGATCCTAAAGGTTGAGTGTAAATAGTGAGTGAGCTGACCTATTAAAAAGCAAAAGGATACTAAATGAAAACCTCTCTGCAGCATGTGAATGCAATTTCCACTGCAACCTCGTAGCATTGTTCTCATGAGACAAGCATTTGTGTGTGAAATTTGGGCACTTTTTGGAGGCTAAGGACAGAAAGCCCAGGGATCCTTCCACTATGTGGCTTGTAATAGAACCTTCACTCAATACTAGTAGCTGAAAGCCCATGCTGTAATTTGTAAAGTCATGTGTAAAAAAAAAAAAAAAAAGGCTGAGAACTTAGAAATTAGGCAGTTACAGACCACAAATCCCTGTAATGATTGCACCTGGTCATATTCTAAACAAAAATAGCTTTTAACCATGTTTGTAGCTGTTTCTATCACTTCACACTGATTCAATAGCCGCTCTAGGATTCAGAGTGACACATAGCGTGACGTTCTTGAAATCATATTATATAGAGGAATAAGGCGATCACTAATTCTAAATTTTAATAGCTGCCTTCAGTTTTGTGCCTACTGTCCTTGGTAGTGTAGAATGCACTATGTAGCCTGAACTTTCACTGAAATATTTGTGCAGATCTCAGGGTGCCTTTGTATCGAGACTAAAACATTGCAGAATGATGTCCCTTTAAATAAATTATGCCCACTGTTTCTCATGAAGCTGGCCTCATGTTTCAGGAAAAGGACTGTTCTAGTTTAAACTGCTCTTTAAGAAGCCAAGCAAAGGGATGGGACTGGTTGCATCAGAAGGCTGAATTTGCTGCAAGGATGGGCTTTGGTGTATTAATTTCTTAGCTCCACCTTCTGGCTCTTGAAAAGGATCCTACAGACTTTGCACTAGACTGGCACCTCTGCCCTTTCCTCTGATTGAAAGCTACCATTCACCAAGAGCCGAGTCTCAGGCTCCTAGCTATAAATGCCAAGCATTTGATCTGAGAAGCATCTCCTCTTCAGGGAGGTTTGGACTGTGGTGTGGAGAATGAATGGAGTGGGGAGAGCAAAACCTCTGTGGAAGTTTCCTTAAGAAATTTGGTCCTAATTACCATGGACTGGGAAGCAATCTCAGAATGGGAAGAGAATCTGCCTTGACGTTTCCCTTTCCCATACCATACATCTTCTCATTCAGCCTGAGCTCTGGATTGTGAGAGGAGATTAGTCTGCATTAACAAGAAGGCATCATGTGTTTTGAACACATTGCTGTATCTCCAGATTGCGCACTATCAGCGTTTCTGAGTCACTAGACTTGGTAAACAACATTACACACTTTTATGGGCCACCTCAGTTGGGCACGTGCATTGTTCTTCTGGAAAAAGTCAGTAATTAGAAGTATCAGGATTCAAACCTCATTGTCCAAGATTAGCCAATTTCAGATATTGGACAATGAAGAATAGTCCCTTTTCAGCCTAAGCAAACAAGCCCACCTGACTAAGTGGGGCTTGGCGCCATGGACAAATGATTGGAGTACAGTAGGGCAAGTGACAAAGCCATGCCATCTCCTTTGACAAGGAATAGGTGATTTAACTCACTTGGCTACCTACTGCTTTAAAAAGGTTAAAAGGTTTGTCTAGGCTTGAAGGAAAGCAGTACCAAGTTGCAGGTTTAAGAGCCTAGCCAAAAGGGCTTTAAAATGCTGTAACAGTGATGTAGGCCAGTGGAACATTAGGCTAAATTCTTTAGGCCAGGGGTTGGCAACCTGCGGCACGCGTGCCAAAGACAGCACGCGAGCCGATTTTTGATGGCACACTTCTGCCTGCCGGGGTCCTGGCCCCACTCAGCCCCCCTGCCCACCACTTTCTCCTGCGGGGGCGAGAGGCAGAAGCTTGGTCATGCTGGCAGCCAAGCTCCCCCCTCCCCCACTTCTTCCCCCAACGTGGTGCTTTCCTGCCCCTCCCTCTCCCTGCTGCCGATTAGCTGATCGCCCTTGCGAGGGGGAGTGGGAGCAGAGCCAAGCCGCAGCATGCTTTCTGCTCCAGGGAGGAGGCAGAGAAGAGGTGGGGACGGGGCATATCCCCTCCAGCCCCCTGCCGTGAGCATCCCCACGAGCCAAGCACCCCAACTCCCTGTCCTGACCCCTGAACCCCCCCCACACACAGCCTTCTGCCCTGACCCCTGCACCCCCTCATACACCTCCAGCCCCCGTTCTGACTCCTGCACCCCCCACAGATACCCAGCCCCGCTACACCCATGCCCTGACTCTTGCACCACCACCCCATATCCCCACCCCCACCCTGAGCACCAAACGGGAGCTCCTGCATACACACACACCCGTTCCCACCTGCACCCCCAGTCTGGGATCCCTGCCCTGACCGCTCG